GAAGAGGAAGGGATAGCAAGGGCTAACCACCCGCAGGTGCTGCTGGCAGTGTTGGCAGCACTTTTTGCTGCGAGTACACCAATCTCAGGGGGTACACGTGCACCCGCATGCAGCCCCTATGCTTTGCCAATGGTAGTGAGGTTGCCTAATTTGTGGGTGACACAACATTATTCAAAGTGGTAAAGACCAAGGTGGACTGTGAGGAACTACAAAGGAACTGGCATGGATAAGTAAATGGGCAACTAAATGGCAGATGAAATTTGATGCAAGTAAGTGTCAAGTGATGCACATGGGCAAGAATAACCCAAACTATACTTATGCTGTAATGGGCTCTGTCAGTTGTTACCACACAGGAAAGAGCTGGGAGTCATTGTGGGCAGTTAGCCAAGTACATCAGCCCTCAGAAAAGACAAACAATGTTACAGATTATTAATCAGTGAATTGTAAAGAAAACAAAGTATCAGTATACCCCTTTATAAATTCATGGTGTATCTACACCAGGGGTGGGCAAAATGTGGCCTGCGGACTGAGTGCGGTCTGCCAGGCCATTCTATCTGGCCCTCAGTGTAGCAAGAAACCTTTTTGCCTGCCCCCCCACCCAAATGTGAAGCTCCTCCATATGGCAAAAGCCCCTTTTGCAGTAGGCATCCCCCAAAGGGGGTAAATTTCTCTTTTCTACCTTCCTCTCTCTTTCTTTTATTATATTATCATTTTTATATAAAGGTGTACTTGTAGTGAAAATGGAGCTTGTAGATGCTTTTACTAATGTACTTTAAGTATAAAAGTAAGTTGTACCATGTAACAACGTTAGCAAGGGCAGGAATCTCTGTATGGAGCGTGTCCCTGAATGAATCATGGTTGATTGTGTAACACAGTAGCTAGTCTGGGTAAACAAGTTAACAAGCGGCAATTAACACCTACAAAACTACAGACTAAGGAGAGGAAAGAATCAGTACAGAGCCAGGAACTCCCTGAAACTTCACTGTTAAAAGGTATGGAAGGCCCGGTTTGGACTAATCAATGCTGGAAAAAGACCCTGGGGGCTGAAATACCCCCTGATCAACCACTTCCAGAGCTCTATCCATCACAGCAGTGAATCAATCAAAATTCATCAACAGACTCCTGAGACTGCACGTACCTGCGGATGTAACCCCTGGGGCTGACAGCTGCCATCCAGCAGCTACCAAGAGGGACATCCCTCGAGGCCAACAACCCCTGGATTGGGTAAGCCTGAGAATTGGGGAGTTGCCAAAGTCTGCCAGAGAGGGATAAAAGGCAGCGAAGAATGACCCCCAAAGGCACCCTGCCTGCCCAGCCAGAAGGACCAGCCGGCGACCCCCTTCTAAAGCAACAACGCAGTGAAAGAAGCTTCAACTGGCCATCGACAGCGGACTCCAGCACCTGGGGATAGGTATATTTTGATACTGGTACTTAGTGTTCATAGCTAGTTACTGTGAGTGTGTGTGTGTGCGCACGTGTTTGAGGAGGATCAGCACCAAGGTTTATGGTTTGACTGTTGCATCTGTCCAATAAACTAGAATTTTATGATGATCCTGTGAGTTGGTCCCTTGTAGTCAACAGCGGGGCCCCTAAAAAATTTAGAAAATTAATATTTAGCTGCCCCTGGCTTCCTGTCATGTGGCCCTTGATAGCTTGCTAAAACTCAGTAAGCGGCCCTCTACCCAAAATAATTGCCCGCCCCTGGTCTACACCTTGACTACTGCAACCAGTTCTGATCCCCACACCTCAAGAAGGATATAGAAGAGCTAGAGAAGGCACATAGAAGTACAAAAAAAGGAGAATTAATTGTATGGAGGGGCTTCCATATGAGGAGAGACTAAAGAGGTTAGGTCTATTCAGGTTAGAAAGAGCCTTGAGTGGGGCATGATAAGTGTTTACAAAATACCAACTGGTGAAGAGAAAGTAAATAGTAGGGGTGCACCAGTAAAGATTTTCTTGGCTGATACTAGTGGCCGATTATTAACCAGCCATATCAGCCGATACCAATCCAATAGCCAATTTACAGGAATGCAGCCAAGCAGCGCCTGCCAGTAAGTGGGGGGGGGGGACAGATCAAGGTCTCCACAGTGATGGAGGAAGTGGGGCAGGGGCTGCCCAGTCAGGGTGGTGAACACAACCCTAGGGCAGAGTGTGGGATGAAGCTGCAGGTGGCTTATATGGAGGGGCTCCCTGCCAGTGTGAGCCTCCCTGCAGGGAAGCATGGGGAGGCATATGCCCCCCTGGAATTGTATGCGGGGCAAGGGTGGACTGTGCTGGCCTCTTCCCAGCAGTGGGGCTGTGCCAGAGCTCTGCTCAGGGTGGGTGGGGCAGGCTCAGCTGCAGTAGAGTACAGTACCCTGAGCAGGGGCAGCACTGGGGGAGCTATAGCAACACCAAAATTCCCCATAGCCCCCCAGAAACCACCCCTCCCAGTGCCATTGCTGGCATCCACCCCACGCAGCTGAGCCCAACTTAACCCCACCCACCCTATGCCCAGCCCCAGCCTAGCCCCCACTGGGAAGAGGCCAAAGCAACAACCCCTAGCCCCGAGCCTGCAGACAGCAGCCTGCCCTCACCCCATTCACAAGTCTGGGGGCACATGGTCCCCATGCTTCCCCCAGGGCAGTACACAGCAGCAGGGAGCCACCCCACGTCCCCCCAGATGAGCTCCCCCGCTCTGTCCTGCACCCCACCCAAGCTATTAAATTAAATCTATTTAATACCCACTTCCTCCCTCACCGTGGGGGCCTCAATCTCGCCTCCCCACCCACACCCCTTCCCTCCCCACCTGCCAGATGCTGCCCTCCAAGCTGCTGGGCTGCATTCCTGGCCGCGTCCATACTGTGGCTGCATGCATGCACGTGGCATTTATTGGCGACATTAATCAGCCAAAAAAAGCCGATACCAATATGGTTATAGTTCTTTGGCTATCACAAAGAACTGTTGCCACAGCTCTTATTACTGGAAGATCAACAGTAAGGGTTGTGGTTTTTTTCAAAAAGGACAGAACTGGGAGAAAAGGTGGTGATGCTGCCCTATATGTTAATA